CGGAGTTATATGCTATCTAAGCCATTGTGCAGTCTTTCTCGCTTATAGTTTATGACATGTTTTCAACATTTCTTTCAATCTTTCTTTTAAACTATCTTTCGAAAATCTTTTTGCTCTCGTTTTCTAAAAACCCTATTCTCAAACGGGGTTAGAGTATTAGGCTAGGGAGCCTAATACTTATTTATAGCTTGGTCAACAGTTATATCCGGTAAAGCTATATTTGGTAAAGCTATATATAGTCAAGCTATATATGGTAAAGCTATATCCGGTAAAGCTATATATGGTAAATAGTTATATATAGTAGATGGCTAAATCTGGTAAAGCTATATATAGTAAACTATACCATATATATATCTGGTTCGGTAGAGCTTTGGAGATGTACTTCCTATTCTCTGTACTCTCTTGTTGTACATACCTGAAATCATCAAATAAAAAAATCCTTTTAGCTAGAGTTCTCCTTGCAATTTTCTCTATCCTTTTCTTTGTGTTCATCTAGATCGAGTGTGGGCGTTGTTGTGCGATCCTAACAACTGGTATCAGAGCTAACGACTGATATCGATCCCTAACAACTGGTATCAGAGCCAGGCAGAAGTCAGAGCCGGGCGGAAGTCAGAGCCAGGCGGAAGTCAGAGCCAGGCGGAAGTCAGAGCCAGGCGGAAATCAGAGCCAGGCGGAAGTCAGAGCAAGGCAGAAGTCAGAGCAAGGCGAAATTCACCACGATCTGTGAAGATGGAAAGTTCAAAGATTGGAATTGAGAAGTTCGATGGATCCGATTTCGATTTCTGGAAAATGCAGATTGAAGATTATCTGTACCAGAAAGATCTTCACGAACCTCTGTTGGGGGTGAAGCCGGATACCATGACCACGGAACAGTGGAAGCTCAAGGATCGACAAGCCTTGGGGCTGATCCGGTTGACGCTATCCAAAAACGTGGCGTTCAACATTATCAGGGAGAAGACAACGTCAGGTCTGTTGAAGACGCTGTCGAATATGTACGAAAAACTGTTGGCTATGAACAAGGTGTATTTGATGCAGAGATTGTTATGAGTCCTTGTGAGAACGTCGTTACGAGCAAACAGAAACGAGTTAGCTTCACAAAGACTGTTAGAGAATTGAAGAAAAGTACCGGAGGGGGCTCCGTCAGTCGGAAGCATTGCTGAAACCCTGGAGGAGGGGGATACCTCGGCCGGAAGCATTGCTGAAACCCCGGAGGAGGGGGATACCTCGGCCAGAAGCGTTGCTGAAGCCCCAGAGGGGGTTGCGTCGTCCGAAAGCGTCGCTGAATCTCCAGAGGGGGTTGAGTCGTCCGGAAGCATCGCTGAAGCTCCAGAGGGGGTTGCGTCGTCCGAAAGCGTCGCTGAAGCTCCAGAGGGGGTTGCGTCTGCCAGAAGCGTCGCTGAAGCTCCAGAGGGGGTTGCGTCGACCGGCAACGTCGCTGGCTGAAACTCCAGAGGAGGTTGCGTTGGCCGGATGCGTCGCTGAAACTCCAGAGGGGGTTGCGTCGGCCGGAAGCGTCGCTGAAGCTCCAGAGGGGGTTGCGTCGGCCGAAAGCGTCGTTGAAGCTCCAGAGGGGGTTGCGTCGACCAGCAGCGTCGCTGGCTGAAACTCCAGAGGAGGTTGCGTTGGCCGGATGCGTCGCTGAAACTCCAGAGGGGGTTGCGTCGTCCGGAAGTGTCGCTGAAACTCCAGAGGAGGTTGCATGGGTCGGAAGACTCTTGCTGAAACACCAGAGGTGAAGCAAGTGAGAGTTGATGTTGAGTTGCTCAAAGATTCACAGAGTGATGTTGTAGCAGATACTCATGAAACTCCTGAGAGTTGATGTTGAGTTGCTCAAAGATTCACAGAGTGATGTTGTAGCAGATACTCATGAAACTCCTGAGACTCTTGCTGAGAAACCAGAGGTGAAGCAAGTGGGAGTTGATGTTGAGTTGCTCAAAGAATCACAGAGTGATGTTGTAGCGGATACTCAAGAAACTCCTGAGACCCTTGCTGAAACACCAGAGGTGAAGCAAGTGAGAGTTGATATTGAGTTGCTCAAAGATTCACAGAGTGATGTTGTAGCGGATACTCATGAAACTCTTGAGACTCTTGCTGAGAAACCAGAGGTGAAGCAAGTGGGAGTTGATGTTGAGTTGCTCAAAGATTCACAGAGTGATGTTGTAGCGGATACTCAAGAAACTCTTGAGACTCTTGCTGAGAAACCAGAGGTGAAGCAAGTGGGAGTTGAGGTTGAGTTGCTAAAAGATTCACATAGTGATGTAGTAGATACTCAAGAAACTCCTGAGACTTATGCTGTTGGTGAGGAACCCAGTCTATCATTCAAAACACAGAAGGCGATACCATTTCACTCGGAGGTTGGTTGAAGATGGTGATGTGTTTTGAGAAGATAGAGGGTGCAAAGAATCCAGCAAACATGTTGACAAAATGTGTTGATGTTGGAATATTGAGGTTGTGCAAAACCTCAATTGGTATGGTGCTCATGGTCATTTGAGAGTGAAATTCTTGGTTGACTAGATCAGTCTCCAAGTGGGAGAATTGTTAGGCTATAGAGCCTGATACTTATTTATAGCTTGGTCAACAGTTATATCCGGTAAAGCTATATTTGGTAAAGCTATATATAGTAAAGTTATATATGGTAAACCTATATCCGGTAAAGCTATATATGGTAAATAGTTATATATAGTAGATGGCTAAATCTGGTAAAGCTATATATAGTAAACTATACCATATATATATCTGGTCCGGCAGAGCTTTGTAGATGTACTTTCTATTCTCTGTACTCTCTCTTGTTGTACATACCTGAAATCATCAAATAAAAAAATCCTTTTAGCCAGAGTTCTCCTTACAATTTTCTCTATCCTTTTCTTTGTGTTCATCTAGATCGAGTGTGTGCGTTGTTGTGCGATCCTAACAACTGGTATCAGAGCTAACGACTGATATCGATCCCTAACATAGAGGCTTGAACATACGTTGTTCGGCAGTAGGCAACGTGATTTTGAGTTGGTTGACTTACTCGGTACTGGAAGTGAGTGTCGCACAATCACTTATAAACGTTTTGAGAGAGTGCGATTGTGACACCATTTACCGTGATCATCGTAAAAAGCTTCCTTTATTTTGAATTTTTTTGAATCATTTTCTAAGTATTTAGTAGGGAAAAATCAATAAAAATTTCAAATATAATAATAATTATATATAAATATTAAAAGGGAGATAGATGGAGGGAGGAAGGGGTGATGGGAAATGGAGAAAGCGGAATGAGGAAGTGACACGTAAGTGAAAGTGATGGGACGTAGGTAACAGTGAGTGTAGGTTAGCATAGATAGAGCCTAAAATGGGAATAGCCAAAGGGCAAGTAAGCAACAAACATGGCATAGGGGAAATTGATTGGAAAAAATAACATAAACAGTATAACTCAATCACATGACCCTTCATGTGTTTGAAGAAACCAAATAAAGAAAAATGCATTGCCCTTCCTTTGTGGGTCACTTTGTTGGGCAGGACATCATACAAAAAGTTCGTGATGTTCTAAAACTTATCGGGTCCTACCTCATCCCGTCACGAGCGAACCAACCCTACTGGTAGCCAATAATTAAAATCCACACCCTGTTGTTTGTTGTTTGTATAAATTCTCAATTCGAACATAGCTCAATTGATAAATACGCTGATTTTTATCACAAACCATCTAGGCTCTTATCTTATCTCTTATCAAGCTATGAAAAGTTATAGCTCTCGAGCATAAATAAATAAAATAGAGCACCTAATAAGTGCTTAAACAGATCAAGAACTATAAGATCCCGTTTTATGTGTTTTTTTTTTTTTTTTTGAAGATGTGGATAAAGACGATCAATAGAAAAATTTCAATCCTCTCGATTGCTCCCCGAAATCGAAAGGAAGAACGTGAAACCTTACCTCACTAGTTTATTGTGTCTAACTACACAAATGGTCCAAAATAGAGCCCAAATTTTGAGAAAAAAAGCCCATGAAATGCAAAATCTTCACTTGTGTCATCAGTGTGAAATAGCCCAATGACTAATATGCCCTTACGCATAAGGGTAAATTAATATAAAACTCATGATCATTTAAAAGTGATGAAGTTAAATGATGACGCGATGACGTTAAATGATGACGTTATGACGTTATATGATGACACGATGACGTTAAATAATAACGTGATGATGTTAAATGATAATGTGATGATGTTATATGTTATAATATGATGATGTGATGACATGATGATGTTATATGATGACGTTATGATGTTATATGATGACATGATAACGTTAAATGATTATGTGATGATGTTATATGTTATAATATGATGATGTGATGACGTGATGATGTTATATGATGATGACGTGATAACGTTAAATGATGATGTGATGATATTATATGATGACATGATAACGTTAAATGATGATGTGGTGATGTTAAATAATCATATGATGATATTATATCATGATATGATGACATTAAATGATGATGCGATGATGATGCATGATAACAAGGTGATGTGAGACGTGTGATAATGAAATGACTAAGTATGATGACGTTCCATATATAGGATGACGTGCATGTATTGAATGTTACAATGTACTATGACGACGATTTTTCAAAGACAAACCCTAGTTAATGTTCATGATGATGAATGTATGAAACTCAATACGTGCATTTTAAACTAATGTGTGAACGATATATAGGATTATGTCATAAAGATGATTTAATGATGAAAATTATAAAAACTTCATGCATTTTGTGTGTTCATATATATCGAGCGATGATGATCATGTCTGACATGACACTTGGGGTCTGTTAACCTCTGGATGTCGCTACGAACAGCTAGCTAGACTATGATGGTCCTGAGGGGTGCAAACCGCCTAGAGACCCACACTCACACATTTGAGTCATGTGTAAGGAAATACTACATACCCAATCTTGTCAGTTTAAGGTCGTTACAAGCACATTATGAACAATTATTTTAAAAGATACAACAGCCTCAAAACTACGCTTAAATCACTATCGTATAGCCATCGCTTCCAAAGGAAATGCTCGAGTTCGCAGCAACATAGAAAGAGATAGAGATCGAACTGTTCGGGTTTTAAATCTGTTTGCCAAACAAGTCAGTGGGTAAAGGAAGATTTTCACATTTCTAACGTCGTCGTTGTCGTTGTCGTCCTAATAAACCGAAAAAGAAACGAAAAAGTGAAAAAGCCAATCTGGATCTCTATTCAACTTCACATAACTGTGGGCAAAGATATAAGCATGTTATTGGCAGTAGATTTGAAGGATGAACTTGAGGGGGCTGAGCATAAATTCTTGGATTTGTTTTCCCTAGGATATGGATAAATCGCTGCCAATTCCCGAACCCGACATAGAACGGACTCAGGTACTTGCTGCGACGTTTGCTTCCGACCAACAACGACCTGCTATTCAGATAGAACCGACCGTTAACTATAAACACAACCCTTCACAGAATCAAACCATGAAAATAATCCAAATCCAACCTTTCTTCTGTTTTGCAACTGTGTGTCACTTGCCTTCAATAGATTTCTCCATTTGTCCTGAAATTGGTGAAGAAATAAGAAACCAGCAGTTGGAAGAGCTCAATCGAAAACCGATTTGTTTTACCTTCAGATCCACAGATGTTCGATGCGAAGACGACGAAAACTGTAGCCTCTTTATTTCTGTCCACCGTCCGACTCCATACTCCGATACCCCTTCTATCAACTTCATAACCTCGGAAAGAGTCCACGAGATATGATGCTTACGGCGACTGTTGCCTTTTTGAGCGTTGTAAACTTTTGTGGCACATTCGTCTTCAGTGTTCTCGTCCTCTGACTCGGCCGAGAAAGACTCCACATCGTTTTTATCTTTTATGCATAATATTCTATTCTCCTTGATCTCCTCGGGCTCCTGATTACGACGGACGACAGTGAGTTAAATCGATCGTTATAGGTAAAAATGAATTTATCGAACGGTACAGTTCTTACCCAACATATGATCTTTTTGGCCGAGTGACTTTCTTCTATTGGAAGACCGAACGGAACCTGAATACAACCTCCATTGAATGATTTATCTTTATAAACGACTGGCGCTGCTTTAAGTTTCTTCTGCCATTGATGCTTGTGAGACTCGGAAGGTCGAGACTTATCCTTGGAAGCTCTAGGAGCACTTTTCTTGCTATTAGATCTCGATTTTTGTTCGACCGACTCTTCACTGTATCTCCTGGGAGGCTTTCGTAATCTCTTTTCGGTAACAAGTGTATCGCCTCGATTACCTTCGTTAAAGAGAACGATTCTAGATTCATTGTGTTCAGAATTAGTTTTCGACGAGCTGCAACTTGAAAGTCTCTTCCTCTTCACAGGCCTGTTGTCTGACATATTCTCGTCATCCAAGCATGCAGTAGCACTACCCGAACAGCCCGAGGACCCGGTGCTAGATGAGATCATAAGTTTGCTTTCCTTCTGATCAAACGCCACATTATGCCCTGCAACCGTCAAACTATTTTTAAGCCGAATGTCACTTAATGAACTCCATTTATATACAGGTTCTGGCAACAGACCTCCGGTAAAAGACAAGTCAACGCCAATGTCCGTCGTACAAAAGCCTTGCGAGTAGCTACCGAAATCCACATTGCCTAGAAAAGAAGCATTGGATGAACCAGGAGCCAGATTGAAGATATCATCTGTGGTTCGACTGTTCGCTGAACAATGGAAAAAGGAGACGGAGTCTGATCAAAATACTACATACAATTCGAAAGTAAATCAGTAGCAAACCACGTTACGGACGGTCTCACCGGTTCCTAGAAGTTTGTTACTCCCAGAACACACATCATCAGCTCCGTGCAGTTTTCCATCATGATCCTAGAAGTACGATATTATTTTCAACGATATTAAGAAGCCTACGAAGCTATAGCTATTCAAAACCGTATTCCTTAACTAAGATATCCTAACAGTATTACGAACCTATCTTCGTAGTATTCCTTAACTAAGTATAATACATAAGCACCGAGTTACACATGCCGACTCCTAATTAGTGCTCATGGAGAAAACTAGAAGAAAAAAATGCGTAGAAGAGATGACCCAGATTTTCAAACTACAGCGGAACACCTAATCATGTAAAATCAGAAAAGTTACAAATTATCGAACGTCAAGAATACGCAGCACAATATGCATTTAACGGGAAAAGAACTTAAATTAAGGTTATTACTACAGTGAACGAGGGTGTCAGAAGCAAGGCAATACGTTTTCCATTACACAATGACACTTGGATACCTCTAAACTATATTGTCCTTTCCCTTTCAGGCTTCCCCTCAAGGTTTTTAAAAAGCGTCTGCTAGGGAGCGGTTTCCACACCCTTATAAAGGATGCTTCGTTCTCCTCCCCAACCGAAGTGGGATCTCACAATCCACCCCCTTTCGAGGCTCAGCGTCTTTGCTAGCACACCGCCTCATGTCCACCTCGTTGGCATATCGCCTAGTGTCAGGCTTTGATTCCATTTGTAACAGCCCAATCCCACCGCTAGCAAATATTGTCCTCTTTGGGTTTTCCCTTTCGGGCTTAGATTTTTAAAACGCGTTTGCTAGGGGGAGGTTTTAACACCCTTATAAAGAATGCTTCGTTCACCTCCCCAACCGTTGTGGAATCTCACAAAAATGAAGAAACAACCGTGCTAAAATACATAACAGTAAGATTGTACCTCTTGCTTGGTTCTCTCTCCTTCTAAAGTAAGGCTAGAATGCAATGATTCTGCAACAGAGAATTTAAATTCATTAAAAGAAAGTAAGACAAAGAACAGTGCGTGGGTAATAGTAATTTATGGTTTGTTCTAAAACAATGGATATCCACACGATCCTACAATGTCGAGTCGAAGGCAATCATAATATTTCCAATCATCTAATTTCTATGTCAATGGCTACCATGGGGATAAACCAATCAACCCGGAAGGCTAAAAGTAAAAAATTGTGAACGATAGACAAAAGAATCCAAATTTCCCGATTAAAACAAACACGATTATACCAATTTGAATGAATAGCATGTTGACATCACTACCAGATGATAAAACACATAAACAATGAAAATGTCAGTAAGTATTCCAATTGAATCCAGATTTGAAGATCATTGACAAAAGGATAAAATCAAGAGAAGCTTCAACACCCATCAACCCGATGTGTTGGTTGGAATGAAAATCATGGGCGATATAATATTTGAAGATCATTTACAGTCAAATGAATCAACATACAGCTCGAACTGCAATAAGAAGATAGGTACTAATTAATCAATGAGATAATTACCACTATCGATCTTTATGTGATCAAAATCAACAGCGAACGAAAAATGTTCAATGCCTAAGCACTTGTGAGAGTGGAACGTGTTGAAATCTAGAACACTGCCAGAAAAGCATTTGTTAATTTCAGGTTCCAAGAAATGTTCCACCCCTAAGACATCATCTTCAGGAACAGGGAAAATAGATAAATCCGAGTCAACCTAGATGGAAAAAAAAAGGTTGTCAACAGAATAACCGGAACCGAAAGCATCAAATTCCCGTCAAAACAATAAAATTGTCCCACCAAAAACGATAGTGTTCAAATGTAACAGCATAGCCAATCATGATCACTTCGTCACTTAATAAAAATATATTTCATCATGCATCTCCCTTTCTTCAACATAATTACAAGCATAGAGCGAAAAGAAAACGCTAAATCCGAGTAATGATTCAGGAGTTTAACTTAAACTACATTGGTACAACTTGGCAGAACATCATTTCTAAACATGTTGCTTCCTTCAACAATCACCCCACTAGTCCGTACTCCATTGACCCGACACAACATTCTAAACATACTACCAAGAAAAGTTCATAATTCAAATACTCCACCGACCCGACACAACATCAAACTCCACCGAGTTTCATAGCTTTTCTTGCAAGTTAGAACTATCAATACAATTATGAACTAAAAAACTTTCTTATGAATTGTAAATCATGCATACATCCGGAAACTCATAAGTAAACATTTTGGTAGCCTGATTGGAAGTCATCATAGTTTCCTTGGATGCCGCACTCATTGTGTAGTGAATACAAGCCTTTCCTTCAAGCCAATGCTACGCCTGTAGATAAAGGACAAAGTTCATGTTTCAAACTCGCAATGTAACTCAATTGAGAACCAATTAGCACAAACACCACAGATTGAGCATATGCAACAATCAAAGCAAGACACAAAGCCAATCAAGAAATTCCATGCAGCATTAGCTCAAACCAGCGCTGACCCACCAGACCAAATAAGCAGCCACAACGATTGCATCAAGAGTTCAGTAATGAAGATAAACACCCAACAAACAATAGATGCAAAAAAACAAAAAAAACGTACAGAAAACAAGCACCAAGAACAAAAAATCAAAGAAACGTACAAACCCCAGAAAAGGGGAAAAGAAAAAATCAAGGAAAGCTCAATTTCTGAAACGCACCGAACTTGAAATCCACATACAGAGGGAAAAGGGTAAAAAAAATTCACAGAATCAAGGAAGAAATTCATTACATTGCAATGCCTGGGAGAGAAAATAGGAAAGACCCAAAAGGGAAAGTGGAAGGACAAGCGAGAGGAAAGGGAAAGGGCGATGAACGGTGAAGAAGAAGAGGGAAAAACGAGTGAGGAGCTGAGGAAGTGAACAGGGCGGTGAACTTTTAGGTGTCGGATTTGAAATAGGTTTGAAAAAAGTTGGATTGAAATGAAAAGAGTGGAGTCCGGAAGCGACAAATCATCGTCATTTTGCCGCCTTGACGATTACGGTCATTCACGAGTCATTTTGACTCGTAAAGCGAGAAACTTCAGGTTTCTCACGCGCCTTATTCCACACGCGCGGCGCCGATTCTAAAAAATCTCTAATTATTATTATTATTATTTTTTTAATTCTTCTCTGCCCAAAGAAAATATATGATTTAAAGTAATTCCATATGTTAAATAACCTTCCATTTTATAAAATATTATTAGCTAAAAACAACCATAGTTTGTTTAAAATAATGTTATTAGAACAAAGAAACAAACAAACTTCCTAAATTGATGTTCATGTCTAATTATATAGACACATGCACATTAAAAGGATGTATTTCTCCATCAAAATCATTAATCTTGATTAGAATTCTTTTTGCATTACTAAATGGATGGTTTTCATCCTTTCTGTGTCTCAGTGTTAGAGGATGTTCAAGCGTTTCGCTTTAGTCTCTGTCATGAGTAGCTCCAAAATCAATAATAGTGTTCTTGGTTGCTCTGTGGTTAACTCAAGCCTCAACATACGTAAGTTCTCGTTTCATTGACTGTTCTATCTCTTTTACTCTCTTATGGAGAGCAAATAAATACTTTAGGGTCCCATGTGAGGGTTTTCAATGCTCTATACTTCTATCTCTATTGTCTTATATTCAATTTTTGAATTTGTTCCAAGTCTGACTTGAAAGACATAGAGTGTTGTCTCGAGCATTCAGATTTTCGGTGGGCCGGTTTGTACCCTAGAGTTCTACCTCTCCGTTTGAAGGATTCATCATCCCCTCCTCCAGGTTCAAGTTCGTCAACTCACCCTTCTTTGGGGGAGTTGGGCCAGCAATTTCTATAACCTCCACGTGTAGAAGCTTGATTTCACCTTACATATAAAAGCACACCCCTAATTGTGGCTACTTTCGTGGTGAGGTCTCCACCATGGAGTACTACCTCTCAATTAGAAGGATTCATCATCCCCTCCTCTAATTTTGAATCTATCACTTCTCTCACCGTTCCGGGAGCTAAGTTGATAATTTCTACTATCCCTACTTGCAGGAGCCTAATTCTACTTTACGTCTTGGAGTTGATTATTACTAAGGTCAAACAGTTGTTTCGTTTGTAGTGTAGGTCTTTAAAAGGTCTTGAATTCTTTGTTCATAGACTTTGGTCTCATCTTCCGCCCTTAAACAAACCTAAAGACTGTATCTTTCTTGAACATATCATGAATATCCAACATAAACCTAAAAAACTGCTTAAATAGTCTTGGATATACCTAGTATGCCTCAACTCCCTTAACTTCCTTCTCGCTATTATCTCAACATTCCCTAAGAAGAACTATGAGCGAATTCTTGTTTTAAGCTCTCCCAAGTGTCCACAGTACATCGACCATCTTGAATGTCTATGTACCTGGATCTCCACTACAACTTTGCCTCATTGACTAGATGTATTGATGTCAATGTGATTTTCGCTTCTTCTACCATAGTATTTGTGCCTCGAAAGTACTGTTCAAGGTCAAATATAGTTCTTTAGAGCCTTGGCATCTTGAACTCCACAAAAGGGTATGAGACCATTAAATTGCACCCCCCAACCAAGGTTTGGTTCCTCACCGATCTCATGATGAGGTTTAGTCTAATGTTCAGCTTCATCACTTCAACCTTGGCCACTCTAAGGGCAGCTCTTAAGTCCTTAGACATTTCTAGGACCATTTGAACAATCGTTTGTTGGTCATTGTCTAGCCCTCAATACATTCTTCTATTCAGGCAACAAAGTGTTGGGATATGGAGCCTGGTGCCTAGATCTGGTAGAGATATATTTGGAAGATATTTCGTAAAGATGTGATAGAGATATATATGGTATATATATGGCAAAGATTTGATAGAGATATATTTGTTTTATATCTGGTAGGTTTAAATTTTTGGGAGCTATATTCAGTAAATTGAAATATATATATATATACCCATTAGTCTTTTACTCTCAAAATGTACTTTCTTTCTGTATTCTCTTTCATTGTCGTCATGAATAAAACCTTAGCTAATATTCCTCTTTGAATTTTCTCTCCCTGTTCTTTGTGTTCAGCTTGATCGAGTGTGTGGTATGAGAGTGAGGCGAAATTCACCACTGTCACGACCCGATTTTCGAGGCTTTGAAAAACCGAATCGTGACTATAAAGATGAAATCGAAAACAAACAAAAAGAAATGAAAAGTGAAGTAAAAGGTAAAAATACCATTTAATTAAAACAAAATAGAGAAAAGTTTTGTTTCAAATTAATAAAAAGGAATTACAAATACAAAATTAAAATCAAATATTTCCAACTGGAAATAAAATTATGAGAAAAAATACAAAAGACTCTAAAATACCGACAAGGGACTGACGCTCCGGAACGACCCCCTCTGTGACCGCACAGCTCTCGAACGCTCCTCCACCTCGATCGGCACCTGACAAAAAAGTAGAAAGGAATGAGTATAAAAATTATACTCAGTAAGCCACATACTTGTAAGCTCTCTTCGCATCTTAATTTAACAGATTCCCACGGTTTTCTAATTCGTTTCTAGGACATCTGGTTCTAATCTTAGTCCCTTAGGGCTTGCCTCTTGGGTTTCACCGGTTCATCGTCCTTTCATTAAACGCCTAGATGTTCCTTACGCCAAGCTAATATGGTCGGTATCTCTCTATGAGGTGCTACTTCTACATGGCTATCTAGGACTACATGGTACCTAGCCTAGGGGTGTGCTGAATACCCCTACGACCATATAGTCCCCCCTATGGGGGGCATGACCCAACCCGTTCCCATGCAGCTAATGGGTTGTACGACGTGGGGACACATTTCCCATGCGAAATGGCTAAGAGCAGTAAGGACTGATCAGGGACCCTTGGTCCGCCCACGAAGCTATAGATACCGTTCTCACGCTAGCAATCTATGAATACTCCGAGGTACTTTCTTGCCATGGTAAACCGCTAAGTTCCTAGGGGAAAAATTAAGTCTGGCTGGAGCGACATATCACTCCTAATTCCCTAAGCTTATCATAGAAATGGGCCCTAGCAATTAACAGAGTGTGCATGCAACCTTCTTCTAACATCATAGTATGTAATTCATGCAAACTAGGCATACCGGCTCAATGGGGCGATGACCTCCACAAGCACCCAGAGCACGAAGTTCGCGCTCAATGGGGCGAATTCGTCCATCAAGCACCCGGAACACGGCATACACAATTCCAACATAAATTAAATGCATGCATACATACGGTGGAAGCTTAAAGCATATAGCAACACTCATGTAATTCACCCAATACAATCATAACAATTAATCTGACTAATAATTTACATGGAGAGCTAATCTAAAGCAAAACTATTAGCATGCATGCAATCCAAGCGAATCCTGCAAGTATTTCTTCCTAGATATCGGGTGGTGACTTACCTGGTTGACGCGTGCCTTTTTACTAGCGTTTCTTTGCCCGTGAGTTGTCCAAAAATATTGATTTCTTTATATTAGGTCCCTATTCATGTAAAAACAGTATTAGAACTAGAACCAAGACAAAAATCGGGCAAACAAAGAGCAACTGGGCCAAAACGGCCGTTTCACGCGCCGGCAGTGCGCCAGTCGCGGGACGCACGCGCGCCTACCACGCACGGCAGCTCCTGCGTAGACGCGGGTCGGCCGGTCCGGTTCGGCTCGCGTTTGTGGTTTGGCTTGGGTTGTTTTTTTTTTTTTTGCAGGCGACACGTGTCGTCGCCTCGCTGGAGCTGCGTTGCTCTAGTCGACGGTCGACACGTGTCCAGTGCCTGTCACGCCACCCACCGCCGCTCGTCGGCCGACCCCCTTTTTTTTTTTCCTGTTTTCTACAATCCGTAACAGCGTCCACTTTTCGATTTTCATATCTTTTGATTAGTAGTTCGGATCGATATGATTTCTTCGGCAAAGTTCTAGATCGTGTTACGGGCTATGTCTTAGTATTTTTTTTGTAATTTTTTTTGCTTGACTACTGGACAAGTTAAGAGCGTCGGAAGTTTGCTCACCGTTCTCAGACGATTCTTGGATCTCCGCCTTCAGGTTGAGATCTCGGCCAAACTTCTTCACAGATCATGCGTAGAGTTCTTCCTAGATGAATATATCAAGATTTCAGTTCTTGATTCACAAAGGAAAACCGTAGATCTGAGAAAACGTTCAAGATCTTACCTCGCGGGGTTTTCTGATTTCTTGATGGAAAATGGAACTCCGGCCACCCACATTCTCTTTTCCCTTCCAAGAAAGGCTCCTTGCATCATGATCTTGACCGGAGTAGACTCCGACGGTAGTTTTCGGTGAGTCTTCCGGTTGTTCATTCTTCCTCGTCTCTCTAGGTTCTCTCTAACCCTTTTCTCTCACCATTTGTTTTTTTTGCAGGACTCTTGATAGGGTTTCATTTGGGCCCCTTTAGTGGTTGGAGGGGCAAACTTACCTATTTGCCCCTCTCTCGACTTTTCCTATTTTTTTTTCTTTTTTTCTATTTCTATTTCTCTTTCTTCGGGTATTACAACCACGATCTGTGAAGATGAAAATTTCAAAGATTGAAATTGAAAAGTTTGATGGATTCGATTTCGGTTTCTGGAACATGCAGATTGAAGATTATCAGTACCAGAAAGATCTTTACGAACCCTTGTTGGGGGTGAAGCTGGATACTATGACCACGGAGCAGTGGAAGCTCAAGGATCGTTAGGCCTTAGGTTTGATTTGATTGACACTGTTCAGAAACGTGGTGTTCAATATCATCAAGGAGAAGACAATGTTAGTTTTGTTGAAGGCGTTGTCGAATATGTATGAGAAACTGTCAGCTCTATCGGCTATGAACAAGGTGTATTTGATGCAGAAGCTGTTCAATCTAAAAATGTCTGAAGGTGGATCTGTTGCTAGTCATATAAATGAATTCAATATGATTGTAAGTCAACTGAGTTCGGTGGAAATCAATTTCGAGGATGAAATTAAAGCATTGATTTTGATGTCATCTTTACGCAAGTCGTGGGATACTATTATTGCCGCAATCAACAATTCACGATGATCTGATAAACTGAAGTTTGATGAAAGTATTCGCAAACGGGAAATCGGAGATTCATCAAGCAATGCTCTCAGTGTTGATCGAAGGGGAAGAAGTAAATCAAAGGGCCCAAACAATGGGCGATCAAAATCAAGGAACCGAGAAAAATCTCCAAACAAATCGTAAAGTGTTGGAGTTATGGAGAAAAAGATCACTTTCGGACAAATTGTGCAAAGAGGAAGTAGAATTACAAACCAGAGGATGATGATGATTCTATACATTCAGTAGAAGACATTGGGGATACTCTAATCCTTAGCATGGACCGTCCGATTGAATCTTGGATTTTGGATTCAGGTGCATCTTTTCAATCGTCTCCAAATAAAGAGTTGTTTAGAAATTTCAAGTCTGGAAATTTTGAGAAGGTGTATCTTATTGATAGCAAAGATTTGGAGATTGAAGAAAAAGAGGATGTCTGCATAAAAACTCTATCAGGAAATCAGTGGATGTTAAAGGATGTTAAATATATTCCTAGACTCAAGAAGAACTTGATATCTATTGGTCAGTTGGATAGCACAGGTTATACAACAAAGTTTGGGAAGAGTTTGTGGAAGATTGTGAAGAGTGCTATGGTGGTAGCACGTGGCACAAAATCTGGAACTTTATACACCACTGCTGGGTGCATGAACATAGTTGTTGTTGCTGAGAGTGCTTCCAATTCAAATCTATGGCACAATAGACTTGGACATATGAGTGTTAAAAGAATGAAGATGTTGGCTGCGGAAGGAGTTTTAGAAGGTCTGAAATCTTTGATATGAGTCCTTGTGAGAACTGCATTATGAGCAAATAGAAACGAGTTAGCTTCACAAAGACTGTTAGAGAATTGAAGCAAAATACTGGGATAACGAAGCAAGTGGGAGTGAGGTTGAGTTGCTGAAAGATTCACCTAGTGATGTTGTAGCAGATACTCAAGAAACTCCTGAGACTATTGTTGATTAACCAGAGGTAAAGCAAGTGGGAGTTGAGGTTGAGTTGCTGAAAGATTCATCTAGAGATGTTGTAGCTGATACTCAAGAAACTCCTGAGACTGTTGCTAAAGAACCAGAAGTGAAGTAAGTGACACCTGAGTAGGTGTTGAAAAGATCATCCAAAGCCATCCGAGTACTAGATAGGTATGTATCTTCTTTACACTACTAGTTGGTGACTGATGAAGGGGAAAGAAAGCCCCTTGATGAGACCCTACAATTGGAGGATACAACCAAGTGGGAGCAAGCCATGGATGATGGGATGTCTAGGCTTCAAAAATGTGTTTCTCTTTCATCTGCTGAGGCTGAGTACGTGGCAATAGTTGAAGCTAGAAAGGAGATGATATGGATGACAAACTATCTAGAAGAATTAGGCAAGAAGCAGCGTGAGAAGATTCATCGGGTAGATAGTTAGAGTGTCATGCAGTTGGTGAGGAACCCAATCTATCATTTCAAGACAAAACACAGAAGAAGATACCATTTCACTCGAAGGTCAGTGGAAGATGGTGATGTGTTTGGAGAAGATAGAGGGTACAAGGAATCCAACAAACATTTTGTGTTGATGTTGAAACATTGAGGTTGTGCAAAGTCTCAAGTGGTATGGTACCGATTGAGAATGAAATTCTTGGTTGACTGTATCAGTCTCCAAGTGGGAGATTGTTGGGGTTGACTGAATCAGTCTCCAATTAGGAGATTGTTGGGTTGACTAGATCAGTCTCCAAGGGGAGATTGTTGGGATATGGAGCCTGATGCCTATACCTGGTAGAAATATATTTAGAAGATATTTCGAAAAGATCTGATAGAGATGCATATAGTAGATATTTGGTAAAATCAGATATATATATATATATAGTAGATGTTTTTGTAAAGATTTGATAGAGATATATTTGTTAGATTATATCTCATAGAATTAAATATTTGGAAACTATATTTAATAAATTGAAACTATATTTATACCGAGTACTCTCAAAATGTAATTTCTTTATTCCCTGTCTTTTGTACATACTTTCATCGATAAAACATTTAGCCAATATTCCTCCTTGAATTTTCTCTCTCCAATCTACCTCCTGATACTAATTTATTGGTAATACATTGTCTTTGTTGGTGATAGACCTTTTATGCCTCAATCTTTATTAAAATGAATTAAAATAAATTAAAATAACTTCATATGCTAGACTTCTGTAACACTAATTATAGCCTTGTAGGTAATTTCTTCCGATTATCTAAGGCCACACGTATAACCTCTCTTACAAATGGACCAAGAAAAGAAGTTAATCCTACATATTCATCCCCTATAGGTTGTCATATTCATTAAAAACAAGTTTTACTCTAGACATCAACAACTATTGTCTTTATCGTTGTAGGATCTCTTTTTCTTTTTTATAGAGTTGTTGTTTCATGGGGGTTTCCACTAATTACATGATCTTCCTTTCCAATTCTATTTTCCTTCTAAACTTATATTTGTCTACCGATTGCTATTATTGTGTCTTCTCAAATATGATTAGGTTTTAGTGTCTTCCCGTTATCGTTAGGTGAAAAGGGTTCAAGGAGGGCAATAATAGGAGATTTATGCACATTAACATCCTTTAGAGGAGACAAATATTCTGATTGTGATTAGGTACAATTGATTTTTCTCCTTCAACGGTTTCAACTTGTAATTCGTGGTCATGCAACATTTCGATCACTACAAATCTTTCTACGTCTACATTTTTTTAGTAGAGTAATATCAATATCCCCCATACCTTTTTCAAATGTTTAGTATGATGAGACTTTTTTCTTCTAGTGACTTTTAGACAATATATATCTTCTTTGTATTCTAAAGTTTGAGGTGGTACATTATCTCCCTCCATTCGAACGTGAAACAAAAATTAATAGATAATCATTATGCACTAAATGAAAATAAATTAAGAATGCAATCGCAAAAGACCATCACAAAATAAATATTATAGAGGGAGTATAATGTGTTCACAAAAATATTTATACAATATCCCAAATTGTTCATCAAATAAAAACGCCCTCACAATCTTCTCTTGCATAAGTGATCTCATCATTTTCATTAATGTCTTCCAATGTATTTAGAATTTGTTCATTGACAATCATGGTATCACCATATTCATGATCGTACATATCAAAGTCATGAAATCCTTTGTGTGGTCCTTTTAATAAGACATACCAATTTGAGGTATCATTTTCTCCAACATAAAACACTTGTTTGGCTTGTGAGGCCAAGATGAAAGGCTCACGTACAAATATGCTTTGACTTTGATGTAAGTTAACAAGAGTGAACCCTTCCTCAACTCTTACTCCATTAGGGCCCAACCACATTTAAAGATTGGAAGTTGGTAGGCAAAATAATCTAACAAGATGATTTCTTGTAACACCCCATCGTAAGCAAGTACGTTCATAACTTGCGATTTATCTTTTGCACTAGATCTACACAATGTAGCTACATCTACATAAACAATACTATTTTGGGTTGATTTTTCCACTCTTTATATGAAATCGTTGTCCATTAATGATGTACCTAATGTAAGACATTGCACATTTTCTTGCCCTATTTGCAAGCCATTTTAACAAGTGAGAGTAAAGTATACTGGATAAATTTATTTGAATCTATTAAGCATAAAAATAACTACTTGTTAATTAGATTATCTTGTAGTTTTACACATTCATTGGTTCATGGAATAGTACGTTACATTACCTTAGATTTTAAACATGATGAAAATTGTTTTGCATGAATCATCGAGTAGACTAGAATCTTTTACTAGTTTTTGATCTAAGATCATGAGTTCATCTATATGTGTCTGACCAAATGAAATATGATTTAATATTGATTTATATTAAACTCTTAAGAATGAGAAACATAAATGGGATGGAAAATCCAATTTTCATTAATGATCACCATGTTTAAATACAATACAAAATACAAACCAAATCCTACACATAAGAGAAAATATTATACTAACAAAATCCTGAAAATGAGATAAAATATACCAAATATACTATTAAGGAATTAACCAAATCTGAAAATAAGGAAAAAATCATAATATATTCCAATACTCTTTTATATTCCTAATACTCCTCTTCAAGTTGAAAAGTGTATGTCAACAACACCCAACAAGTTGGAGAGTGTGTCAATAACACCCAACTTGTTTTTACTCACCTCAAGTTGGAGAGTGTAGTCAATAACACCCAATTTATCGGTTAAGAAGTTAAATTGTTGTCAGAGAGTGTAAGTTAATAATACCTAACTTGTCTTTCAGAAAATTAAATTGTTGTCTTCCCATTAGTGAAAATATCTCCCAAGTTAACTCTAAACAAGTATTTGTTG